CAAATGTTGACCAGAACACTGAAGTGACCAAATGAAACCCACCTTGCGCAAATGAAGTGACCAGAAGCAAAGTAATGCATCATCATTTGGGTTGCCAATAAGTGCCGGCCATCTCTCTCAGACCTCACAAAGAGTATTATGATGAGTATATAATGTATGATTGCATGCTGTTAAGTCATTAAGATGCTCCATGGTATGTGAAACGATTCAGTCCAGTTGGTTGTGTTGATATCAGAGTAATTGTAATTGTAATTCCTATACCACACTTTAGTGACATTTATTTAGTGACATTTATCAACAATCTCTGATGTTCTTCCAAATGCTGCATCCATGATAGTTTGAAGACAGCGGTGTATCTACGGCATGAGTAAAGCTTATGAAAGTGTTTAACTTGCTGGCTGTAAGCTTCAACCCTATTTGTCAGCATATTATCCAGCTCCGCATGTCGATAAAAGATAAATGTACTTCCTTGATATGAGCTTCGGTTAGGTGAGCTTACATTCTGACAGGGCGAGTATTGTAACAGCTTCAGGGGTATTTGATTTGATTATGTCTGACAAGAACTGAAAGTAAAATTCCCTAGTTCTGTCCAGGGAGATCTCCAGCCCGGCAAGTATTCGTAGTGGTAGTGGTGGCTGTCTGGTTTCTTTAGCGATTAAAAAGAAATGGTAATTGAACTTTTGAAAGGAAGTACTTCATCATATTAAGAAGTCATGTAACATATCGTAAAATAACCTCAAGAGCAATCAGTTACGTTGTAGACTTGGTATTTACAGACCGGTTACGTTTCTCACCGTTGATACTGGCTGGTTTGGTTTGTTTCGTTGACAGATGAGACAACTAATTCACGCACGCACGCTCTCTCTCTCTCTCTCTCTCTCTCTCTCTCTCTCTCTCTCTCTCTCTCTCTCTCTCTCTCTCTCTCTCTCTCTCTCTCACTCACACACACACACACACACACACACACACACACACACACACACACACACACACATACAGATTTTGTAGTTTTGTAGTTTGTTGTTTGTATATATGTATATATATATATATATATATATATATATATATATATATATATATATATATATAAAGCAAAATCTGTGGCAAAAATATTTAAATTTTCCTATATCTTATAGTTTGAGAAACATTGGCTCCCTAAATTCTGTGTTCCGTCATCCTATTTGTGAATGGTGGAAGCTTGAATGCGAGGAAAGAAGAGGTGTGTAATGTCAGACCTTACTGTATATGGGATTATTTGTCAATAGAGTCTGTGGAACGTATTTTTCACGGGATGTCCAATTTCATGGGCTATCTTCAAGCTGGTTCTCTTACCCTATCAAAGGAGGATTTAATACACCCTAGATCCGCAAACCATGGTGCAGATTACCCGTTGTTCTGGATAAACGACCAGCATGCTCTTTGGTATAAGTATGCTATAGTGTCCAGGTACCTTTATTAGCTTGAATGAATTGTGTGGCTCACGAATGGTACGCTGATAGTGATCACGAATTATGATTGTGGTTTGTCGTGATTTGATAGGTTAAAGTAATCTTAATGAATTGGAGGAAATTAGTGATTTGGAAGTCTGAATCCTTGCTGGAATTCAGTCGACCCAATAGTCAGCCTTTGAGCTGTTGGGATATATATGAAAAATATAACTAAAAGTAAAATAATAAGGACCTTTCTGACCCAATGGTTTACGTCCTCCATCGACGCCATGGCTTTGGCTTATGATGGCAATTTCCAACGATAATGAAGTTGGTTGCTTTCCAGTATTTGTGTGAAATTAGATGATGATACAAGAGAGATTTACATCTACTTTATCGACGAGGTCTCGGGTATGTGTGGCAAGGACTACAGCCACAGGGTGTCTAGGCTCCTTCGCCAGAGGCCTAACGCTACAGCCCTCTGGGTCTATTTGCGGAAGCAAAATATTCACGACGACTATGCTAAATATAATTACATATTCCCTTCAAGGCGACAAGACAGCCGTGCCATCTTCATTCTTAAATTGACAAAGTCATCTGACAGCGGGGTCCTTGCCCTAGGGTCTCATGGCAGATAACCGCATCATGTAGTCATGGGCTCTGGAGAGACAATGGTTCATTACGTTGTGCCATTAATGGATTGGTCACTTTTGAGAGTTGTCGATTCCCCATGGATTACTTTAACTACTCTCTGAATATCTTTTTCATCATCGTTTATTCCATTAGCTAACTTCATGCGTTTAGATGTTTGATTCTAAAATGTTTGCCAAACCACCAAAAACATTTTCTTGATAGCATTTTTCATAATATATTCCAGATTCATCGGTTCAGATTAACGGAAAAATAGGGGGCCATCCCAAGGCTGACTTAGCTGAGAGCTCAAGCTCCCACACCTCCAAAAGGCGGTTCTATTTATGGAGATTGACCATAATGTTGAGCGAAATAATAATTGAAGGGAAATATAAAGTTCACTCAAATGAAATTTGTGAAAGCATACATATTCAGTTTGTATA